CAGAGGCAGTGCGGTTGGCGCAGGATAGAGCAGGGTTTAGAGCTGTTGTGCATAGGGTCGCTATGAGTGGCAAACGACTCGGCGGCACATAACAATACTCTTAAAGAAATATTACTGAATTTTGGGAAAAAATATGTAGTATTGTGTCAAAATTGGTGACTTATGTGGATATTTGATGTAGAGTTTATATATACTACAATGGTGTACTATGTGCAATGGAAATTCTTGTAACCTTGAAAGTTAAACAAAGGATCATCAGTGTATTAGGGAAAAGAAAACAATAAGTATTAATTCTAAGCACCTTCCACACTGCTCTTCCAATGGTAGTTTTTTTAAACATACTCAGAAAAAGAACAAACACTGTTGTAGTGGATCATAAAGAAAGCTGTAGTCTTTGATCTTCTTCAGCATTTCAAGTCGTTTCCACTTTCTAAAAGCAAAGTTGTGTCATTGTAATATTGTAGGTTGTTGGTGAAACTCATTCTTTTTTCTGTCGTCTAATTGCTAAGATCACTTGCTCCATCCAAAATTTGAATAAGTGTGGTGAGAAGATACAACCTTTCACTTTCTAGATTTTCAATAACAATGCTATGTATAAATGAAGACAGCATTAATTTTACTTTCTCTTCTCAGACAGGTCCCCTGGTAGTCAGAAGCTCTAAATGGTTTGCTTACAATTATGAGAGTGTAGGCAGTGTTTTGGAGACTGTAAAACCTGGATGTAAATCCTGTCTCACTCACTGGGTAACAACTTCTCAAGCTCTTTAACACTTTCACTACCCATTATGTTGTTTGTAAGTGCTTGCTTTATGGTTCTGCTGAGGATAAAATAAGACAGTGTTTATTAAAACACCTTATATAATACATGATACACTGTTGTTGCTGCTGCTGTTTTGTTGTTGTTACATGCTGTCAAGTCACGAACCTGTGTACAACAGCTCTGAACCCTGCTCTATCCTGAGCCACCTTTACCATCTCTAACACACCTACCCCCATTACCCTAGTTATTGAGTACATTCATCTCATCAAGGGGCTTCCTCTCTTGTAACTCATAGCTCTGAATGCTGCTCTATTGTGTGGCAACCATATTGTATCTGATATGCCTCACCTCATTACGCCATTCACTGAATCAATCCCTCTCATCATGAGTTATCCTCTCTTGTGCTATCCCTTCAGCCTCCTAAGCATGATGTCCCTCTCCAAGGACTGATGACCCCTCCGTGCAACATGCCCAAATTATTTGAGGTGGAACTTCAGAATCCTTGCCTCCAAAGAACAGCCTGGTTTCACCCTCTCTAGGACAAACTGTTTTCCTAGAAGTCCATAGTATATTCAATACTCTTCTCCAGCAGCACAGCTCAAAGGCATCAATTCTCCTTCTATCATCCCTAGTCATTGTCCAGATTTCTGTTGCTTGACAGATAATTACAAAGACCATATCCTGGATCAGACACATCTTAGTCTCCAGACTGACATTGTTGCTCCTCAGTACTCTGGATAGGTCCCTAACAGCCGACTTTCACAAGGCAATTTGTCTTTTGGTTTTCTGGATGCTTGTACCAAGAGTGTTGACTGTGGAGTCAAGCAAGTTGAAGCTGTTGATATTGAGCTTCAATCCATATTGAAGACTGATTTACAGTAGCTTGTATTAATGTACATTTATATTCTAGGTCTCTAAAGTGCTTTACATTTTACATTGCCCTTTAAAGTTTGAATTTATTATTTCTTTTTTGGCTCTTAGGATTTTGGAATATTAATGCAAATACCTTATGTTTTATTATCAGAAATGGTTACCAAATACTGTGATGAATATGGGATTTGGTTTAAGCATCCTGAGACCAATAGAACATGGACCAACTATACTATGTGTAATCCTTACACGCCCGAGAAGGTGAAGGTAAGTTTCATTTTTAATTTCATTATTGGATGAGAAATACCACTATATGTAAACAAAAATTAATCTTCTTCTTGTTATGTGTTCTGAGTCGCCTGTGACCCATAGCAATTCTATCTATATCATCTTTAAAGCCTGCCCTGTCTTAAGCCAGTCTCACTGATTCTGGCACACCTACCCTCATTACCACAGTTACTGTATCATCCAAGGTCTTCCTCTGCAACCCTGTCCCTCCACACTTCTATGCATGATGTCCTTTTCCAAGGACTGGTCCCCCCAGCTACATGCCCAAAGTATGTGAAATGGAGCTTCAGAATCCTAGCCTCCAAGGAGAAACTTGATTTCACGCTCTCCAAGACAGACTTATTTGTTTTCTTGGCAGTCCATATTATGTTAAAGACTCTTCTCAAGCACCACAACTCAAAGGCATCAGTTCTTCTGTCATCCTTAGTCATTTACAGCTCCTAATGTTTAATGAGTAATTGCAAAGACCATGGCCTGGATTAGGCACACCTTACTCTCTAGACTGACCTCATTGATTTTCAGTACTCTGGAAAGGCCCAATGCAATTTGCCTTTTGATTTCATCACTGCTGGTGCCAAGATTGTTGATTGTGGGGCTCAGCAAATGGAAATTGTTAACAACCTCAGTCTCTTTTTTATCTAGCATCGTGCTCCCAGTTAACCCAGTGGTGAGAACTTTTGTCTTCCTGATGTTGAGCTTCAACCCATACTTAAGGATTAATATAGAAACTGATTTATTCAAGTATTAATTTTAATAGTTTATGTTCTTTTTTATTTTTTATATAATATATACAGGAACTCTTGTGGCCTAGCGGATAAGGAGCTGCTTTGGCAATCCAAAGTCACATGATTCTAATCCACCAGTTGTTCCGTGGGAGAATGATGGTCAATCTTCTCTTGTGTAATTCACAACATCTGAGAGTCAGCTGGAAGCTAGCTCTGCTTTGACAGCAATTAATGCCTACATTTTTTGGCTCCTAACCAAAAGATTAGCAATCCATTCAAATCTTCCACCTCAGGTAGATTTCATGATCGAAAGATGAACAGTCTCCTCTTGTAAAGTTTTTAGCCTCAGAATACTAATAGTTGGTAGCTATGAGATAGAAACACTTTTGCAGCGGATTTTTTATATACAAGCTTTTTTCAGCTGTGTCTTCAAAATCTTATCCCTCTTTTTCCCTTTTTCTTGTATTTATTGCACTGGCAAAACTTCTTGTAGAATTGAACAGAGTTTTTGATGTTGTTATGTGCCGTCGAGTCGTTTCCGACTCATAGCGACCCTATGCACAACAGCCCTAAACCCTGCTCTATCCTGCGCCAACTGCACCGCCTCTGACACACCCATCCCGATTACCCCAGTCACCGAATCAATCCATCTCATAGAGGGTCTTCTCCTCCTGCATTGTCCCTCAACA